CACACACACACAACACACACACACACACACTCCACGAACCAGCAAGATAAAATAACTCCTCATTCCTACTGAGTACCCCAACCCCAACCCATACATATACATACAATACATACAATTTGTGTCCCCCCACCCTTTTCCTACTGTATTCCCACCCCGCATCCTTGCCCTCGTTACTGCTTCCAGCTCCTACCACGCCCTACTTCCTCATTTGCACGGCCACCAGAATTCATCAAACGCGTTGGGGTACGTGTAGCGGTAGACGAAGGTTTTTCGGTACTTGATCTCCCGCCCACGGGAGTCCTTGTAAACGCCTAGCTCCAACTCCACGTTACGCCACTCCCGCGCAAAGCGCCGAACCCGGTCCACGCGCGTCTCCCCGGGGATCCGCTTCTTCACGTGTGCGTTGATGTCCTCGTGGAGCGGGTCCCACTGCGGGCTCGGCTGGCGCACGTACTTCCCCCGCGAAGGTGTCAGCAGAACCCTGGACGGGCACCCCACGACCGTTGCCGCGGCCAGAGCCGCCCCTGCGAGCGCATTCGCGTGCTGCCCGACTCGCCGCATCACTACGAACTAAATTGCCTTCTTACGTGAGAGGTGCCTTCCCTCCTTTCCACGCTATCAAGATTTACTGCGGCGTCCGCCTGATTAGGCGACTCTCAGTGCAAAAAAGAAAAAGAAAACAGGAGAGAAATAGAGAGGGAGGGAAGGTGAAACGGTAATGCAGCCCAATGTGTACGTATGAGCGCAACTGAGCGGCGTTACGCGCGTGTTCCGCGGTAGTTCACTTGCGTGCGACGACGACGCGGCAGCAGCAGCAGCAGGAATCGTGGGTTGTGGCAGCACAAACACCCGCGTGTGACGCGAGGCGGATAGATGCCACCCCATGTGCTGCCCTCCCCCATCAGCCGTCGCGCAAGGAAGGCAAAACAAAAAAGCAAAGCGGTGAGTCCAGCAGGGGCTTGCCTTCACTACCCCGGCAGCGCTCAGGGGTTGATTGCAGCGTGGAAAGGAAGGACGATACCAATTGTCAGCAATTTCTTTATTTTGATTTTTTATTTTTTTCCTTCTCTGTTGTTCTTTGTGTTTATCTGATGTTTGCGCCTCATGGCAGCTTTAGTTCCTTTGCGGGGCAGCGGGGCGGCCCCCACGACGGAGCTGCGGCAAAGGCGTGGTAGACAGACCATCCGCGGACGCCCCAAGGTTTGGCATGCGGCTCACAGCACGTGGAAAGTTCAAAGAGCGCCCCAAGGAAGATATCGTCCCTACTCCTCCTCCTCCTCCTCGTGCTATCCGCAGAGATGCCCCCCCGTAGAGAGAGAGAGAGAGAGAGAGAGAGGAGG